CCCCCCGACCCCGCACACCCCCCCGCCCCCCCGACCCCGCACACCCCCCCGACCCCGACCCCGCACACCCCCCCGACCCCGACCCCGCACACCCCCCCGACCCCGACCCCGCACACCCCCCCGACCCCGACCCCGCACACCCCCCCGACCCCGACCCCGCACACCCCCCCGACCCCGACCCCGCACACCCCCCCGACCCCGACCCCGCACACCCCCCGGCCCCCGACGGCTCTCTTCAGGCGGTTGGAGTGGGCGCCATTTTGGATTACGCGGCGGAGGACGACGTAGGGCCCACGACAGCGGCGGCGGCGGCGTCGGATCGAACTGCGGGGTCGGCGGCGGCAGCAGCATCGACAGCGGCGGCGGCGGCGGCGGCATCTTCAACGGAGGCGGCCAAGGAGGTGGTCCAGGGAGGGTCGACGGAGCTGTCGCCGCGTGCACTTGGCGTGGTGGGTCGTACATACGATTATGCGTCAGAGGAGCAATGCGACAGGCGAGTTTTGGAAAGGGCGGGAAGGCGAGGAGGGCGCGGATGGGGGTAAAACAGGCTTCCATAGCTGCCCAGCTGCCTGGTCAACCGCTTGGCTGCGGCTTGCGTTGTCGGATCTCGAATTCGGGCAAAGTCTTTCTCGGATCATGCAAGCTCATGCAACCTTCCTTCCCTCCCCTCCTCTCAGTGTGCACCCTAGTTGGTGATTTGGGCGCCAGCGTCTCTTTGGCTTTTGCATGACCTGATCCTCGTGATGATGATTTTTCCACCTAGACGCATGTCGCTCGTAATTCCTCCATCCCCATCATCATCGTTATCCTGCCGTCTTTTGTCATGTCGCTTTTTTCCTGCCACCTGCCCACCACCACGTTTTTTTCCTCTTCCTTTGAATTGTATGATTGCGCGGCTCTTGCATGGTACGATTGCGCACGTCACACGTCGTACACACACACACAGGCATGTGGAGCACTTTCTGGCGGCCATTGAGATGGCGGCAAGGCAACCTGGGCGACCCGCATTCGCCGCAATCAAGGTGGGCTCTCCTTCAGGGTGAACCTCCGTACATCCATCCATGCATGCATGCATGCATGCATCCATCCATCCATCCATACATGCATCCATGTATGCATCCATGTACATGCATCCATACATGCGTACGCACTTCCCCACACCCGCAATGCATACATACACGCACAAGCCACTGACATTCCCATTATTCTGTAAATCCTCAATCAATGCAATAATAGGCTTTCCCGAACAGGACATCACCTCATCGTGCACACCCTTACACCCGCACACACCCGCACCCTCACACCCGCACCCTCACACCCGCACCCTCACACCCGCACCCTCACACCCGCACCCTCACACCCGCACCCTCACACCCGCACCCTCACACCCGCACCCTCACACCCGCACCCTCACACCCGCACCCTCACACCCGCACCCTCACACCCGCACCCTCACACCCGCACCCTCACACCCGCACCCTCACACCCGCACCCTCACACCCGCACCCTCACACCCGCACCCTCACACCCGCACCCTCACACCCGCACCCTCACACCCGCACCCTCACACCCACACGCAGATGACGGCTCTTGGCAATCCAGACCTGTTACAGCGAGCCAGTTCCGCCATCGCAATGCTGCACGGGCTGTTCGCGCAGTTTGATGAGGACGGTGCGTCGGGGGGGGCTGAGGGGGTGGCTGAGGGGGGGCGACTCCGCGGGTGGCACACATGTGGGAGCTGCGAACCAAACCATGAAAGTTACGAGGGCGATACATACACACGAGGAAGCGTGCTCTTGAGCGCGGACTCTTGAGCGCGGAGGGCCTGCTGTCTGTATGTATGTCCGCCTGTCTGTCTGCGTAGGCAGCGGCTTCATCGAGCGAGGCGAGTTCCAGAGGCAGTGGAGGCGACTGGTGGGCGGAGGAGGTGGCGGAGGCGGTGTGGCGGCTGCCGGTGCTGATGGGCCCGCCAGGGCGGATGGCAGTGGTGGCAGTAGCGGCAGTGGTGGCAGTAGCGGCAGTAGTATTAGCCAGGCGGAGGAGGATACCTTTCGGTGGCTGGACTTGCACGGGACTGGCAAGGTGGGTGAGGTAGCGCTGTGTGGGGTAATATACCATATCGTATCATGTCCGTATCCTTAGGGTCTTCCAAAAAGGTTTTTCCTCACCCCCTACCCGTTTCGGATTTACTACCACCGCTTCCGGTTTTACATCTCCCCCCCCCCATCACCAGGTGGATTACGTAAGCTGGTGTCAACGTCTGGACCTGCGTCACATGCCCATGCTAGCAGCCAGGATCCATGAAGGGGGAGGTGGGGGCGAGGGAGCTGGCAGTCGAGCAGGTGTGTGTGCGTGTGTGTGGGAGGGCCGGGAGGACGCTAGGGGCCCGGAGTACTGTCCCTCTTCCAGTGTGTTCGCTGCATGTCAGATGCTGGATTTAAAAGGACGTGATATATTTTTCATGCCATGATTAGCATCCTCAGACTTGAAGCTTTTCCTGAAGGTCGTTGTCCAGGGGAAGCTAGAGGTGAAATGTTGCTGGAAAGTAGAAAGCAGAGATGAAAGAAGTTCTCCTGTCCTTCCTTTTCCTTTTCCACCCGCTTTGCTGTACGACCACCTCAGTGGCCGAGGCGTGTCTGAGCGGTGAGGAGGTACGGCTAATGGAGGCGCTTCTAGCCAGGCTTCAGGTACGGCGATATCCGTACGGGCAGACGGTGAATGTGTATGGCAGAGTACGGCAGTCCCGGGGTTTCGTAGGCATGTATAGGAAGAAACGGTCCAAGCAGAAAACTGCCTCCATCTGTCTGTCTGTCTGTCTGTCTGTCCGTCTGTCTGTCCGTCTGTCTGTCCGTCTGTCTGTCCGTCTGTCCGTCTGACTGTCTGTCTGTCTTCTGTCTCCTCGTCTGCCTGCTTATCTGTGTCTCGATTTGTGTGCGTGCGTATCCATTCTTCCGAACTCTTTCTTCATGCTTTCTGAAACTGGGTTGCTAGGGAGGAAGAGGCGTTGATGGCACACGAACACCCATACTGCTGGCCTGTCTTGCGTGTGTTTGCAGATGTATATGTCTGTCTGTTTGTCTGTCTGTCTGTCTGTATATATGTAGAGGCTGGTGGCTGCAGCACTTCGTCTGGATGTTCGTCTTATGATTGATGCGGAGCACACGTACTTCCAGCCGGTGAGTGTTCGTTGGTCGTTGGTCGTTAAGCACTGGATTCCCACAACCGGTTCTCCAACCCCGCATGTTTAGATCTGGACCCCGAAAGCGTCCCCCCCATCCAATTGCGGGGAGGGGGGAAGTAACCCTTTGGCACACGATTTGTGTTTTCGCACATGTTTGATGTGGCAATACTTAGAGGGGGCGGGAACGATTTTGTTGCATTTTGACAAGGTGACATCATCTATACACACACACAGAGACACACACACAGACACACACACAGACACACACACAGACACACACACGCCCGCGTGTGTTTTTCTGTTACGCGCTGTCCCCCCTCTCCACCCCTCTCCACCCCTCTCCACCCCCCACTCACCCCTCACATTTCCACAACATCAAGGCCATTGAGCACATGACGCTTCGCCTGATGCGGGAACACAACCGCAACGGAGTCGCTCGAGTGCTCAACACCTACCAGGTATACCACGTGTAGACGTACGACTATGTAAGAACCGGCCCCCTAAGAGTCCTAAGCTATGGCCATGTATGTATGTAGGTATGTATGGCCATGTAGATACGTAGGTAAGTATGTCTGCCTCTGCATAGTCCTCTCGCGGTCCCCCCCTCCTGCTTCTCTTTCCTTGGCAGCAGCTTCACTCGCTCGTGGTTCGTCTTTCCGCCCCTCGTCCTCCCAGCAGCTCGCTCGCTCCACGGCACGGGATGTGTCTGCACTTGAGTCCTTGCCTCGTACATCAACCATTCGTCCCCCGTTCTACCCCCTCCACACAGCCGCTGTTCCTTTCACGGTTTTGCCCCCACTACCCCCCGCCCCCAACCCCACCCGCAACCCCGCCACGGCACACACACACACACACACACACACACACACACACACACACACACACACACACACACACACACACACACACACACACACACACACACACACACACACACACACACACACACACACACACACACACACACACACACACACACACACACACACACACACACACACACACACACACACACACACACACACACACACACACACACACACACACACACACACACACACACACACCCAACCCGGCGTACCGAACCCCTCTGTCTCTCCCTCCTTCCGGCGCCCCGGCCCTCCCCCTCCAGACCTACCTTGTGGAAAGCCGGGACCGACTGCTTCGTGACTTGGAACGGTCGCGCAGGGAGGGCTGGGTGCTGGGAGCCAAGCTGGTGGGCTGGTCGGGGGGGGTCTGGTCGGGGGGGCCCTGAGGGACCTGAAGTATGGTAGGGATGATGACGCAGGAGGGGCCCCAAGGGTGACGCAGGAGGGGGAAGGGGCTGAGGGACCAGACCCCGCTCAAACTGAGCAGCAGATGTTCCCCCCGCGGAAAATCCTTTTAAGGGGCCGGAGGTATGAAGGCAGCTTGTCAAAAAAAAACGGTCGCCCTCATCACCCTCTGATCACCTTCATCACCTTATTACACACAGCCCCGGCCTCCTTTCCCCCTCGTCCCCATGGTCGCCTGCTTACTTGACACTGACGGACTGACGGACTGACGGACTGACGGACTGACGGACTGACGGACTGACGGACTGACGGACTGACGGACTGACGGACTGACGGACTGACGGACTGACGGACTGACGGACTGACGGACTGACGGACTGACGGACTGACGGACTGACGGACTGACGGACTGACGGACTGACGGACTGACGGACTGACATCCCGAAGGTCCGCGGCGCCTACCTGCATCTGGAGCGGCGGCGAGCTGAGCAGCTGGGGCTGCCCTCCCCCGTGTGGGCCACCCTGGAGCTGACACATGCCAACTTTGACCGCTGTACGGCGGATCTGCTGGAGGGGGTGCGGGCGGGGCGGGCTGAGGTGAGTGTACGCGTGTGGGCTTGGTTTGCGGGCGAGTGAGTGGTTGACGGTTGACGGTTAACGGTTGGTTGTGTCCGTAACGTTTTCTTACGTCCTTCCACTTTTTCTTTCTCTCTCTCCATGTCTATACATCTATCTATCTATCTATCTATATATCTATCTATATATATATATATATGTCTTGCTTCGTTTAACGATCTTCTTTCCTTCCCGATGAAGGTTCTTCTAGGTACCCACAACCAGCCGAGTGTGGAGGCGGCAGTGGCGCGCATGTTGACGCTGGGTCTGCCGGCCGCCAGCCCGCCGGGGACCCCCGGTGTCATGTTCGGACAGCTCCTAGGCATGTCAGACCACCTCACACTCACACTCGGCAAGGCGGGGTACAGGTAGGGGCGAGATGGCTGCGTCTGTATGTGGTATGTGTGTCCGTGTGTGCGTGTATTTGTGTCCGTGCATGTGTGTGTGTGTATTTGTGTGTGAAAATGATCTGAGCAGCGAGTCGGAAATGCTCTGTCATAATGATGCCATATGAGCAGCGCTACACAAGCGTGTGGATATGTGTAAGTGTAGGTGGGGGCCATGCGGCGCGGGGTTAAAGAGAATTCTGCTCAAAAGCTGTGCAATGGGGGGCGATGTGCTGAACCCCCACGGTGACGTGTAAACTGCTGTTATGTCGGGGCTTCCGGCCACATGCCGCCCTTGAGGGTGCGACATGCCCGGTAGGATACTGTGATTTGAATTACAGACAGACTGACTGACCTACAGACTGACGGACAAACTGATGGACAGACTGACTGACAGACAGTGCCAGACAGGCTGACGGACGGACAGACGAATATGATGATATTGATGAATGTTGGACGGCGGATGGACAGACAGACAGACAGACAGACAGACAGACAGACAGACTGACCGACCGGAGTCACATGCGCTGCCGCCTCCGCAGGGCCTACAAGTACGTGCCGTACGGTCGTGTGGGGCAGGTGATGCCGTACCTGCTGCGCCGTGCAGCCGAGAACCAGGACATTACGAAGGTACTTAGCATGTCTGCAAAGACTACTTCGCCGTCCGTCCACGTGCCTTGTGAACGTTTCCCAAAATATTCTGGGAAGTAGACAGTGGTGTGCGATGTATATATGTAAATGTATGCGGTGATGAATCTGTTGTATCACGACTATCATGACGACTATCGAAAAGTACCGATGGGCGGATGCAGATCCCGTGGTATGCCCATGAGGAAAACAACAGAATAGTCACTCACAGCTGCACAGCACCACCGGCACATACAGCCAACAAATGAACAGATATAAACATATAGATATGATGAACATCCATACACATGTAAACATTTTTATATACATATACTATATGTATGTAATATATACATGCAGTCGAAAATTGGGTTTGAGCACGTTTGCTGGATGACAGTCAGTCCACACACCGAATCAGGTGTGGGTGAGGCGTTTGCTAAACCCCCTTTGATTACATATCCGATCAGCGTTACCGACCACTACGGGGGCCCCCACACACACGACCCCCCACTGGGTTTCCTTTACTCGTAGGGCTCCAAGCAGGACTTAGTCATGCTGCGAAGGGAGCTTTGGCGGCGGGCGACGGCGGCGGTTCTGCAGCCGCTGGCGGTTGCTGGCGGTGGCGGCCGTTCTGTTGCATGACCGCATGATTTGATGAGCTATCAGGTAGCCGCCTCGATGGCGATGTGCATCATCACGGCGTGTTGGGACGAAATATTCTAATTGGTGCTGCTACTGCCGCAACTGCTGGCTGCTGCTACTGCTATTTTGCGGCTGCTGCTGCTGGTAATAGTGCTACTGCTGCTGCATGCCATCAGCATGAGTTGTGGAGGCATTATTAGATAGCAACTGGTAAGGGGAGGTAGCTATCTATAGAGGTCACCAAATAACAAAAGTACTTGTTGGCGTGTTGCGAAGGTGTATATGCTGGCGGTACTATGCCGCATTGCTGTGTTGTGTGGTAGGTGTGGTGATGGTAGTGGTGGTAATGGTATTGTGTTTGTGGTGGTGATGTTGAGGCAGCACGGTGACATACAGACGGTACTGGAAAGCTAGGTGCACGCTTGGAGTCGAGTGTGTATGAAAGGGATTCCCTGATGCAGATTCTTTCCGGATAACGCGCGAATGTTCTAAAATAATAACTACAGTGAACTGCGTACACCTATGGCTCGTATAACCGAGTTGTCAAATCTTGAGTGTACGAGAGGAGCAAGGTTCCAATATATTGAGCATGTACGAGAGGGCGTATGTACGACACCCATGCACCACATGAAAAAAAATACTGCGTGTGCATGTATGTTGTGTGTATAGGATGGATTGGATGGAAAACACCCCCTCCAAAATACAGCTGCAGATAGTACGACCCTACCTATCACACGATTATGTGGCCACTAGGGGATCAAAAATTATACTGACGTAGGAAGTACAACAACAGGTTTGAGGAGGAGGTGTATGTGCTTCGGTTTTGGAGGAGGACTACACTGCTAAATGTGTGACGGAGAAAGAGCCCTTACACCATGATGAAAGGCATATATAGCTAGGTAGGCGGCACATAGGTGGCCTCACTCACTCCGTCACGCCGTCACTCCAACACCGGCGTCCTGCTGTAAGCTATTAAGTTCATATTCTGTTGATAAGCTTGTGGCGCTCTGATGTTTGCTTGTTTGTCGGTCGGAGCGGTATATATTTCGCATGATGCATCTGTTTGTGGCCTGTAAAACAAGTGGATGGACGTACCGAGCTGCTTAGCAAAACTCGCACATACGGGAAGGTGTAATTTCATAAATTCAACACGAGTCATCGATTTATCCCTAATCTTATTCCCCCCCATTTCAGGATAAAGTAATCGCTGCTTTGCAAACACCGACTGTATGCCCACATGTCAGTTAGGGTTATAGGGTAAATTACTAAAATAATTATAATAATGTAATATTACCATATACTGCTAAGAGCACGGGTGACTAATAACCCATAATTGTCAGCACTTCAGCTCGCGACAGTAAATCGAACGATGATCCAAATTACCGCGCCGCGTGACCACAAAGGCAAAAAGATAGAGCTTTCCGCCACTCTCATCAAACCAGTCGACACCCCACCACCGCCACACCCAAAAGGGGAAAAAAATCCCCGCAAAAGTATCACTTGCACAATTCCCCAACAACAAAAGCATGGAGACGGCTGGACTCCCTACGTGGTGAGCAATTTTCTCCCTTCCTTCAATGGCGAGCTTTGAACACTGCACCAGGTGCGCTGTGACATCACATTGCAGGACCGTAATCATACTCCCATCTCATCATCCAGTGCCCCAGTCACCACCCTGCTACCACCCAGCAGTGCTACGGCACCGCGTCATTGAAGCCTCTCCCAAGCCCCCCAGGCCCCCCACCCCCAACAAATCCAGGCAAAGGGCAGATCTGAGGAACGAAAGAAACGGGTGCTCCAGTTCACACGCATTAATGAACGGCGCGTGAATCCGATAATATGTATATACAACCTTACTTGGGCTCGATTAGAAGTGGACAACTCCGTGCCACAGCGACATCTATGTAGATTTGCGTCGCGGGCACTTCATGTCACTTCATGTCACTTCATGTCACTTCATGTCACTTCATGTCACTTCATGTCCCGGCATGTCACTTCATGTCACGGCACGGTGCGTCACGTCTGTGTGTAGATGGCGCGATGCGGAGTCCACATACATCATGATAACGGATACAGACCAGGACACATCAGCATACCGCACCACGCCACAACCACCATGTACTGCGAAAGACATATTGGGCGACCCTGCACGTGCGCTGCAGTCCTGCGGCAGTCACCATGCAGTACGTTAAATACGACGTATTCGTACAGACCAAATTGAACAAGACAGATACAACCACTTCCAAACCGAGTCAAGAATTGATGCTATACATCGCGTTTTTTCCTGGATAAAGGTGGAAGTCCGCTTCCATGACTGCTATTTCAGATATCGGCGTTATAGGTGGCTGCTGTACAATGTACGGCACGTTTGCACCCTCACAAGGACGCCAAACGCGAGCAGCATGTATGCGGCGGGTGCAAAACGTTCGCTGGGAGGGAGAGGCTTGCCAGCCGCGTAAAAGCAAACGCCAGCAATATGAACACAATATAAGAAATACAATTTTTAACATGCATTGACTAACTGACTGCTGCATGCTAGCAATAACAGCAGAACGAGCTGACGCGACACTTGGCCGGGTCATCTCCTTTTCTAAACCTTGTTGCGGAGGTATGGTGAACTTATAGTAGAACTTGCTGGGCAAGCCGTAATCTGATCCATCCAATCCCCCACAGGGCATGCCGCTGGGTAAAAAACCCCTTCGATGCCATTCGACGGTGTACGACGGTGTACGACAAAAGAAATAAAAACGACGTTCTCCTCCACCAACAGGTAAAAAGTTGTGCGTTCATTTCTATGGGTTTGGAAGGTTATAGCGTTTTCTTGCGACACGTATGCAATTGTGCGGAGGCGGCTGTGCGACGCACGCAACCCGGCAGAGGATCTGATGCCGTCATCTCAGCCTGCTGGTGCCGCCCACAGGGATACCAGCCTCAGGAAAACGACCCACGAGGCGGCTTCATGAACAACAGGCATGCAGATTCACCGTGCTCCACAACGCGCCCTTACCGCTGCCGCGCCGTCTATTCCTTTTCGGTTCATCTAGATAAGAGTAATTAGCCAGCGGATGCGAAACAGCATGACCGCGATTGGCCTTGCCACACGATAAAGTCACACCTAGACAGATTTTTGTTGTGACGCGCCCTTAACCCATATTACTCGTTTTTTTGTGTACTAAGTGGGGGCCCCCTCGGATGTTCCTCTTTTCAGGCTCCTCCCTCCCTGCGCCATTGTCCAGTCATGGCTTCCCCCCCCCCCCCTCGACAAGTCAAATTCCGAGCCCCGCGGCACTCCGGGCCCCGAGGGCTACTGCTGGCAGCAAGCAACTGGGTCTCTATTACGAGAGGCCGTACAACCGCGCTGCTGGCAACCGCATTATGCGCGTTAGCTATATCATCTAACACGTGGTCAACATGCAGCAACCCCTGTGAGGCACACCACATGTGCAGTGGCGATGCTTCCGCCGCCGACCTACTAGTAATTTACCTTACCTCACCTCACCTCACCCCTTGTCGTATCCCGCACGACATGGCTCTTACATGTCAGTGCGTTTCCCCCCAGGTCGTCAAGCTTAATAAGGACACCGCCCAGTGACTGTTGGGAACCAGCGCTGCGTGAACCCGCAGAACGATATCCGAGAGCTTGATGAGCGCGGGCGTGGGCGGTGAAGGCCTTAGTTGGATTATGGCCTTTTTTTATCCTATATGTGCGTGGAATGTATGTGTGCAGGGCGCTCACAGCAAACAGAGCGCGGAAGAGCGCAACCTGATCTGCGTCGAGAGACTCACATCCACCCGCACGCGTTCCCCCACATCATATGTCAAAGCGCCTTTTTACTCGTCTTCATCTTCGATAAAGCGGAAGAGCATCTATACACATACACGTACAGAGCATCTACACGTACACATACAGCGCGGACGGCGTGCTGGCTGCAACCGATGATGCCGTCGTGTCCGTGTCAGCTCAGCATCACAAAAACCCAGCCGTGCCGTACATCTTGTACGAAAAAGCGTATATGCACAAACACAGCGGCCATGCACTTTACACCAGACAACTACCCACCATGACAACAGCTTTTCCCACCCAAAACAGACAGACGGACAGACAGACAAACAGACAGGCCGGGTGGCGGAAAGGAGGACGAATGAGTGTTTGCTGCTAGTCACCGGGGGGAAGAGGCGAGGCGCATACACGAAGCCATCACTCTCATGGATGTTCCCTGCGGGCATCTGATACATGCACCATGGAGGGGGGTAAGCCCTAGCGCCCAGACAGATGTGTGTATCTGTGTGTGTAAGTGTGTATGGACTATAGACAATTCGATATGCACTGCGGCACTCAGTGTGTGTGTGTGTGTGTGCTAGCATGTGTGCTTCTCCACGTAACCCCGGATGCGGGTAGCTAAAATCGGAACACTCGGCCAACCACTACGGGCCCAAGACAGACAAAGAGAGAACAGTATTCACCATTCCGCATAGCACAGCACAGCAAAGCACAAACGCCGCACTGACGTTTAGATAGCACACTAGGCGATATGCCGCGGAGGGATCACATCGTCTGAACCACCAGGTTGCAATGTGCCCGCTGCTCATTCCACCACAATCATCAGCATCCGCATCATAGTAATCATCATAACCCAAGGTCGTGTCGAGCACAGCTGCGAAACAGGAGTCCCTCATGCATCGAGCCATCACCGCAGATCTGCTGAAACGCATACAGAACAACCGCCACACCTTTTGCTATATAAATTCGCCCGTTTGACATTGTTGCACGAACACGGCCTTGAGCTATAAACTGCAAAAACGCGCGCACACACACACTCACACACAGGCAGCGAACCGCATAATTACATACATACACACACATACACACACACACATGCGCGCCCCCACGAGTACGAGTTCATGCACGTCAGCAATTAAACTCTTGCCCTGCGTTCTGCGCAGAGGCGACAATTCCATTATACACGCGCCTCAAAAAGGCACCTAAAATAAACCATATAGCTTCGACATCAAGAGAGGATCACGCCTTGTTGCTTCGTGATGACGTGACGCCTCATGCTCACCCGCCCGAAACGGTTTAGAAATCCTTTTCCAAAGTAAAACGTATTAGTGATAGACGGCATGGCATGGCGTGACGTGGCATGGGGCAGCATGGAGCGGGAGGTCATTGGTAAAACAGTACACAGCAACCCTTGCACTGGGGCGTATACAAGTTTCCCACGCCCCTATCGTTTTCTCCCCTACTCCTCTTCAGAACGACAGAAGGAGCATCTTTAGGACGCTCAGGACGCCGTGCCCCAGCCAAGGCCGATGCATAGACACGTGTCATGGACACACACGCACAGAAGCTGCCGCCGCTGCTCTCGCGCGGTGCACTTTCATACGCTGCAAGACAATACGCAATCTTGAAGTTCTTATAGGGTAATCCCAACCTGCCTTCCGCACACAAACTCCTGCGACATGAGAAACATAGGAGAATATACCATGTCCACCCGCCGTAAGCCAGATATGTCCCTCACGCGGCAACCGATCTAGAAGCAACTGTTTTCCATACTCGTCTTTGTTATTTCCGGCTTGTTTAGGCCGACGTTTTTAAGTCCCATTTAAAGACTGCTCGAACCTTGTACGTCTTTTAGCGGCTTTTTGGCCTCCGCTCGCCGTACTTATCACGCACGGCTACAAATACATGCATGTCACGACCTTTCTCCTCCCCCCCGATAGACAGTTATGGCAAAAGCTTCGGAAGCATCACTCTTCCTTCACTGCCTCACACGCCTTTTGTAACATTCGGACATGTACACAAAGCCTGAACCCGTGCCGTACATGGCCGTACAGGAGTTTAGCCTGGCAGCCGAGCCCAGCCATGCCGGCGGTGAAGCTTCACTAGTTTGTAATGTGTGTATATCTGGAGGGCTACCACGAATACTCTCCAGGTAAAGCTTCGGGGGGCTCTGGCTCAGGGCGGGGGTTGCTGCCTGCCGCCGTAGGACAGAGAAAGCAGGTGCGCCAGTAAGATCGCGACCCCCTCCCCATCGCGGCCACCTGCCACATCATTTTAGAGCGATGTGTTATGGTGTGCTGTGAGGATGGAAGAACCACCACACCGCCTCCAAACTCTCCACATCCTCTCCCCACCCCCAGGTCCTCGAGCTTCACATCCGCACCTGCCGCACCTACGAGCCACAGCGCATGGCAGCACGCAATCGCTCTACAGGGACGGCCCCGATCACCGTGGTTCGTTTTCTTTTATGTGAAAATGGGTTGGCTATGTTTCCCTTTAAAAAGGCTTTTTAAACAGGCGTTCGGAGGTTTTCCTGCCTTGGAGAGGACGGAGAGCTGGCGGGAAGCGGTCGCGCTGATGTCTACTTTCTGAACAAACTTTTGAGCTTTTTTGCTAGGCCTTTGGTTTTACTGGAAGCTGAGGTGGAGGCGGCATCGCCGCCGACGGAGGCCGCGCTCTTCTCGCTATCCCTCGTAAGACCAGCTTGCAAGGAATCGGACGGAAAGCCGCGGCGGTCCCTATCGTCATCCTGTGTTGGGCGGCACACGTGCGAGGAGAGGTAAAATAGTGGAGAGAGGGGTTAAGCGTCAAGTCGGTTTGGATCACATTAGGGTTTCATTATCCTCCTCATCAGCATGGTACAAACTGAACGGCTATATGCCACTGTGCAAGGACAGACGCGTGCTGTGTGTCGAGGGGACCATCGTGTCATTAGGTGGTACCGACGTGTACAATACAGTACACACAGACGCATTTCATAACATGCCCTGCAGTGACTTCAAAATACAGTGCAGTGACTACTCAATCCTTCCTCCATCCCCACCCTGCACTCCCTGGAGAGCACCTTCAGCTGATGTAACGCCAGAGGGTGATGGAGCGGCGCCCTCGCCGCTGCCGTAGGTGCCGCCGTCGCAGTTGCCGCCCCCGACATCGACGACGGCGCTGACGGCAGTCCAGTAGACGCCACCACACCGGCCGTCGTCGTTGCCGTACACGCCGCTGCCGCCGCAGCTGCCGCCGCAGCTGCCGCTGCACCCGTCGGTGGCATCCCCGATAAGCTTGTCGACACCACAGGCGGGGTCTTAGCCGTGGCGCTGCGGGCCAGTACGATCCCCGTACGATGCATCAGTACGGCTCCGGAACCGCCGGAAAGCTCCGGACGCGACAGAGGCGACAGCTCAACGGGGTGGTGAGGGGAGTTGTTTCCGTTTCCCCCGCCACCGCTGCCACCATTACCACCTGCGGCACGTGAATTGAAATCGACCAATACCCCGTGGCTTTCCGATGGCAGACCGTGCTCGCCGTCAGTGCTCTGGTTGGCGGCGGCGGCGCCACCAACGCTGCCCGTCGCCATCAAGCTGTTCAACGACGATCCAGCCATCGCTCCGCTACGAGTCGCTGCCGCCAGCGGATTGGCACTGCTCGTACCTGGCCGGCCGGCGCCGCGTGCATAGACGGCGCGGAAGGACGTGTCGCGGTTCACACCCACCGCATGGCCTCCCGAAGGCGGCAACCCCTCGCGCAGGGAGCCATCGCGCACCAGCCCGGAGGGGCCATCCCGGAAGGATCCGGCGCCGCTACCGCCGCCGCCGCCGATGGCGGCGCCGCCCATTGCTACGGCTGCGGTGGCGGCGGCGGCAGCCTGCGGGCTGATAAACGCATCAATGCCGCCAGCGACAAGGCCGCCTTCGGTGGAGCCCCTCGCCGCGGATATCAGCTGCAGCATCTGGCCGCTACTGCTGTTGTGGTGTGAGACGCCCGACTGGCAGGCGGCGGCGCCAGTGGCGCCGCCGCCGTAGCGGATGCTGACGTCGCGATTATTGCTGGTGCTGTTGGTGATGCTGGCGTTACTCCCTGGCATGGTGACGTCACCGTTGTTTCGGGAGCTACGGTCCTCATCGCCCTCCTTGATCGCCTCCATCCCGCCCGTACGACTGGGAGCCAAACTCTCCGCTGACCTGGATTTGTATTTGTAAAAACATTTTTATGGATCAGCATCTCCTTGCGTGCGTTACACCCTCCCCTCCCCTCCCCTCCCCTCCCCTCCCCCACCCCACCCCGCCCACCTCCCGGACGCGGTAACAATAAAGGAACCATCTCGAAGGTGACCTGACACCCCATCCACTTGCAAATCCAGGGAAGTGTGCCGCAGCAGCCAGTCGTCATTGGTGCCACCGATGAGATACGTCTGGAACAGCAGCGGGCAGGGCGCGAGGACCAAGCGGAGTAGGAGTGTTGGTTCCGGAGCCGACTCCCAGCAGCTCAAGGTTCACGCGGTGTGGGCGATGAATGGATTATCAACGGCTGGGTGGGTGGATGCGATGCGGGAGAAATGGCATGCGTGTGTGCGCCCATGGCAATGTGTGCATGTCTGGCAGTGTCAAGCAACGCAGAGTCAAGCAAAATCCAGCTTGTGAAGCAGCAATCCCGCGACCATGACGTCTCCTTATCATTTAAAATAAGGATCTAAAAAAAGGGAGCTGTGTTCTAAAACAAAAAAACCTCACCGTCATGTTGCCTCTTCCTTTCACCGCGATATTGCCCCGCTCCCGAACCGCGTACTTGTCCTTGTCCACAATTCTGTTGTAGGCTGCCTCACTAATGTGGATTTTCCCCGGCAGGCCGTGGCTTTCCATGCGGGAGGCCACGTTGACGGTATCGCCGTAGATGGAGAAGCGGGGCGTCTTGGCGCCGAGCACGCCCCCCACCACAGGCCCCGTGTGAATCCCGATCCGGATCTGAACGGGCTCGCCCTGCGCGTTCTTCACCTTCCTGCGGGGGGAAAAGGACGGACGAACCACGTGAACAAGTGAAGCTGCTGCCAATGAAAGAGTGTACTACAAGAAGCAGGAAGGGGGGGAGAAGAAAGGCCGGGCAGGGGAGAAGCAGGAAGTCATGGGAGGAGGGGGAGGAAACGCAAGGAAAATGCAGAACCAGCACGGGAAAGGCGCTGTGAAAAACGTGAAAACGTTCTGGTAAAATTGATAAATTTGGGGAAATTGACGGGAAGGAAACATTGTGCAAATTTGTAGGAGACATGAAATAACAACATCGGGCGTTGTATGGGTTTTGGAGTTGTAGGGAACACATTATAATAATAATTAATGTCGAGGTATACCCCCCTCCCCACTCCCTTCACCTCCTGCTCTCAGGCCCATAAGGGGCCCGCCGGCCCTCACCTCGCCAGCGCCTGCATGTGTACGGCAAAGTCGATGACGACGTCCACGTGTTTTTCACAATGGGTGGTCATATTACACACTAAAAAGTACGCATCTCCAATGGTTTCCAGTTTGTAGACGTCGGGAAATTCGTCAACCAGCTCGTCGAACCTGGTGGAAGGATCAGGACACGCGAAGGGGGAAGGGGTTACCAGTCAACCAGTTCGTCGAACCTGGTGGAAGGATCAGGACACGCGAAGGGGGAAGGGGTTACCAGGCTGGCGGGCTAACGTGGGGCGAGGGCGACGACACGATAGGAAAGGGGAAACAGCTCGACGTGTGGGTTGAGGCCATGACCACATTAGGCAGTCAAGCCCGGGAAGGTGTGGGAGCAGGGTGCTGATGAACAGGGTGCTGATGTGGCGCAGAATACGGGCTCAAAACAAGTCCCGCAATTCCGGATTGTGGGGTAATTTCTTGATGCTTCATTAGTCCAAAGGGGGTGTGCGGGTGGTGGGTTGGGGCACACATACAGATACGTGGATTGCAGAGCCAAACAAGACAGACAGACAGACAGACGAATGGGCGGACGGATCCAAATCACGTTATTACCAGGCTAACCTGAATGGCGTTCTATTTGTCTGCTGGTGCTACAAAAGAAGGATTTATTCTGCAAAAATGAACAAAAATGCGCATGCATGCCCGACATCATCTTTATGCGAGGCGTTCCTGTTATTGTTACTGTAGCTTTTCCACCGGACATATCCGTACTCACTTGTCGTACATCTCGTTGAGCATGTTGTAAACCTCCTCAGGCGTGGACTTGGCCGAGGTGGTCGTGAAGCCGACCATGTCTGTGTGTACGGCAACACACAGGACAATGTACGGAAGCGGTTTGCGGCGTACGCGTGTTATTGCGTTGCAGCAGGCGGCCATGCACGCAGCTACGATCATCATGTTGGTTAAGGGACGAGGGACCGAAAGCAAACCCTAAGACCAAACAAGGCAGCGTCACAGACCACATCCACACGTCCTGGTAAATCAGGTGCCGATCCCCCATAGCTCCCCCCAACCCACCACCTTCCTCCCACCATCATCTCCACGCCGCCTCCTCCCCTCTTTCTCACGCACCTTGCACTCCTGCTGCACGCAATGCCTCTCCCCCCTTCCCGGACGCCTTTCGGTCAGTTCTACGTTTGTTACTCTCTTGCCCTGGCAGCAGCTTCAATCGTGTGTGGTTCGTCTTTCCCCCCTTCCCACCTACTCTCGCCACCAGATTTGCTCTCTTCACGTCTCCTCGCACCATACGACTCCTCCCCCTTCTTCCCCCTCCACTCCACGATCCTCTGTGCTCGTCCATGTCCTTATCTGCCCACCCGCGACTTTATCCGTCCCGTAGTAAGGCCCAACGCGATCTTCCCTCGCGACTTTATCCGTCCCGTAGTAAGGCCCAACGCGATCTTCCCTCCCTTCCAGAGTCCTGGCCCCTCTTACCGCTAAACAGGATCGTGACTTCGGGGTAGGATATGGCCTCCACCTTCTTTCCCTCACGCAGATCCGTCGCGATATCCGCGGGCAACATGCGGTACAGCAGCGCGTCGCTGCGCTGCCGCTCCTCATCCAGCCAGCGGGTAGCCTGCTCCAGGCGCTCGTTAGCGACACGCAGCTCCACAGCCATCTTCTCGAAACGCTCCTTCAGGTCAGCCTCGGCCTGCGAGTCGCAGTGGCGGTGGTGGTGGTGACGGTGGTGGTGGCGGTGGTGGTGACGTTGGCGGTGCGTATGGAGGAGGTTGTGTGTTGGTGTGTATTGGTGTGTGTGTTGGTGGTGATGTGTGTTGGTGTTGGCGGAGACTATAGGTCTCACACTGACTTTAGCTTCATTACCCTAAATCCCCAAACTCGAATGAAGCAATACAAGAGCCCTGCACAGAACAAGCCCAACTCCAAAAAACTAAGCAACCCCAGCAAACTTGCCTGGCGCTGCTCTGCCAGTAGTACGAAGTCCCTGCTCATGTCGTGCAGCGGAATGTCCGAAAGGAAGATGCCGTGTACGGACATTTCCTCCAGGTTAGCCACCCGGGGGGAGCCCAGGAACAACAACACCGGCAGGCCGTCCTGAAAGTAAAACACACACACACACGGAGGAGAAGGGCCGGGGTTGGGGTTGAGGGTGATGAGAGGCAATGGATGGGAGAGTGAGGACGTGAGGGTTAAGGTCAGGAAGGTATCACGCCGGTAGGGGTGAGGGGAGGTGGTAGAGAAATGCACGGGCATGAACAGCCGTGAAGGGCAGCAGGAGAGAGGGAGGGCGTGAAGAAAAGGAGGGGTGGAAGGCGACGCATTCGTTTGAACGTCACCATGGCCGCAGTCCGGGGATGGCAAAACGAGGGGGGAAAGGGGGAAAACGCGGCGGGGTGGAATGGTTAGGAGGGTGGGTTGCAGGGCATGACGGGGGGCCCCCGCAACCTAGCCGACACATTCGGTCGAATGTCGCCATAGCCACAGCCCGGGGAATGCAAAACGCGGGGGGAAACGCGGTGGGGTGGGGCGGGAATTGGAACAGGGCAGAGGTGCCACCCACGTTCTTGTGGGTTGGGGTTCAACTCCCACATGTCCCGTACTGACCCATGATACATACACACATTTGTACGTGAGCACATGAGCACACGGGTGGAGGGGCACACACATACACATTCAAAGGACGGCGTTTCACTGCACAGGCATGCAACAACACCCAGAAACGTTGCCCCAATCTTGCAGGCGCTATTATTGCCTTTTGCTGCATGTGCTTGGTGCCTGGGGAATGCATTTCACTGCACAGGCATGCAGCAACACCCAGAAACGTTGCCCCAATCTTGCAGGCGCTATATTATTGCCTTTTGCTGCATGTGCTTGGTGCCTGGGGAATGCATTTCACTGCACAGGCATGCAACAACACCCAGAAACGTTGCAAGTGGGGGGGGGATGAGGGCAAGGCGGGAAGGGAATCGCAACAGACAAGGAAAAGGTGGGAGGAAAAGCAGACATAGACTTGACAGTTCTAAAGGACACATAGGAAAAGAAGATACGAGGCAAGGCTAGCGGGAATAGCGATAAATGACCAGCCATGCGTGCGAGCTATGGGGACATTTCCCCTCAAAACCCCAGCCTCCCCATCCCTCCACACTCTCCCCCAAAGCAACCCGGCCCTTCCCAAACCCCCAGGCCCTTAGCCCCTCCCCTCGGTAACGCCCTCGCTCGCTCACCGGCATGCTCGACTGCACCATCTGCCCCTTGAACTCCAGGCCCGTCTCCAGCGACTGGTGAGTACGAGGTGAGGATGAAACAGGGCCCCGGCAGGATATCACGAGGGGCCGAGCACAGGCAATGGCGAGGGAGGGGCCAGCCATCACCCAGCAGGGAGCGAAGTGGCAAGGGAGCCAAGGGGTAAGGAGGGTTTGGGCACCCTACTTTGCAGAACACAGATAAGCCGAGACAGAGCCAAGGCCTAAACATATACGAGACAGGGCCCAAATTATATCAAAAAATTCTACGTATAAATACTATATTTAAGCGAGATGACATGAGAGATGAGGAGAGGAGGGCGCTACAGGCCTTTACAGGCCTTTCAGGAAAGGGGCATGTGCCCGCCTTGTTTTTTGGCGCTGGGCTAACACTGGGCAGGGCAAGGCAACCAGCAAGCAAGCTCAAGAGTTGCCGTACCTTCAGCAGGTACAGGGAGCTGCTCTCGAGAACCATCTTGTCGTACTCGAAAGGAATGTACGGATGGCGCAGCTTGAAGGTATCGGACACAGGCGACCCACGGGTCAGTGTCTTGCCAAACAGGCGCGCCATAACGCGGCCGCACTGCACAACGCGGCAGTCGCGGTCAAGGATGATGTGGAAGGGAAACATCTCGTAGAAAAACTCCTTAGTCATGCTGTACGACGACGCCAGCGCGGCACCGTGATTGTCCCAATGTGCGAGCGACTCCTGGTGTGGGTACGTCACCCGGAAAATCTGTATCAGGAAAAGGAATATGTAGACGCACCGCGTTTGAGGAAAGGGAGGAAGGTTTTGGAGGGGAAGATTAATAGATGGAGCAAGGACTATGAACATAACCCCAAAACCTCTGAACATATTGTGAGAAAATAATTGACCACATTAATACAACAAATGGAACAGCTCCAATAAATCCATTTGAATATTCCTTGCGTACTACCCTTCGGATGTTTATCGCCTTGGGCGGCGGCTAGGTTGGGAGCAGCAAACGGTAGGCCGACGACACTGCAGCGCCGAAACCCTTTGCACGACACGACGAAACGGCACCTGAAACACATAGGGTTTCGCATTCGCACAGGCGCACGCCCCGGCACCCCATGTTGTTCAGGGCCAGCAGACCAACCCAATTTCAATATCGGAAATCAAAATACAGAAAAGGGAGACTTCTTTGCCCCTCAATCTTGGTGTTTTCCCATGTATACAGACACGCACACACGCACACACTCCTACGGTGACGTCCCGCAAAAAAAATCCCCGGTCCCATCTGAACCCTCTCCGTCACCGCGTCATTCCCTCTGATCCTTTTTTGCACCTCACGCCCGCCCAAAGACCCCAAATCGGGGATCGGGGGGCGAAATCGCCCCGTCAGGATTCGCATTTACCTCGTGGTCGCAGTCGCCCGCATCCCTGCTGGCCACCAGCTCCAACTCCACCCCATGGTCGAACAGGAACTTGGAGGCGCCCTTCAGCACCCCGCTCACAATGGGCCACAGCGCGGGGCGGATGGAGTGGTAGTGCAGCAGCAGACACGTGCTCGTGACCTGCGTGGCGGAGTAAAAAAAGGCGGTGCCGAAAAGCACGGGGGTGCGGGGGCTGCTGGTGAAAACAGGGGTGGGGGACAGGATAAGGGAATTTGGACCGGGTAGGCATAAAGCCAGGTTGCTGCCGCACAACGGGGAAACCCTCAATAGCTCTACCGTAGCAGCAGCAACAACAGCAGCGGGTGAAAAATGGATGGAAAGATTATCATCGTAAATTTTGGTTATGTAGGAATAATGAAAGGAAGCATGCGCGGTAGGGTTGCATGGGAGCGCGACAGAGGAGCATGGGCCCCTGCCCGGAGCAGAGTCTTGGAAACGTATGTAAGGAAAAAACGTCGAGGCGCTAAGAGCCAAGACGCTGCTGGCACGTCAGGTAGGCGTTTAAAGCTTGGGGCAGGGGTGCAGGCGGTGGCGCCGCCGCCGCCACACACGACGCATGCCAAAACACGCAGCCTTGCCGGCGGCGACCGTGGCGCTCCTCGGATAAGCCTCCCTCCGCTCCTCGAGAGACATACACACACATGTAATACATGTACACACATCTACATACACGTACATACCTGTTTATAAGTATGAAAACATGTTGTGTAGACACATTAGATAGTAAAAAGAGATTGAGAGGGAAAGAGGGGTTTCTTCGGCCCCACAACCAATTCGCAACACCTGCCAGGGGGTTAGGGTTAACCCCGGCCAGCATTGGAACATGGGGACTGCGTACACCCTCCTCCCCCTACACCACCCTCCCCCACACCATCCCTACCTGCTCCACCCGGAATGCGGGGGCCACCATAGAGGGGAACCCCATGGTCTGCAGGTACAGTGGAGCATAGAGGTACAGTGCGACAGAGAGGGGACAGAGAGGGGACAGAGAAGGTCAAAGAAACAACTGCCGAAGTCGTGTGCGTGTGCGGGTTGGGAGAGCGAGAGCTGCTGGAAAAGAAATCCATTGCTTATAAAACTTGCAACCAAAACTGCTGTACATGCCTGCCTGCTGAAGGCAGAATCGGATTTATGGTAGCTGCCATACCACGGCACTCATATCGTCCACAAATACGCGCTAAGGCGCTCCGCCAACATCTTGGGTGGCTTTTTCAGCTGGGCCAGCTACTACAAGACCAGGTATAAAGGTAAAGCAGAAAACATTACATCATTCCGAGCCTATACTCTCCATGCTGGGGCGGCCGCGCCCCTCCCCACACAGGATGTCGGAATTCGTGACCCTTTGCTTCTCGCATACAACTTCTCCCGCCCCAAAAGACGGGACTCTGCATTCCTACCCTCTCGCTGACCTACCTCTGCGGTACCCCCATAACCCAGATCCCCTTTCCGACCGCAATCGACCCTGCCTCTTTCACCTACGGATCCCCATCCACCCACCCCCATTCCTCGTTTTCCGCCTCATGACACCGCAGCATGCCCCATCGACTGTGTCCCATCGACAACAAGCAAGCCAAGCCACGATCATAGACCACGGACCACGCAACATTTTTCTTCCCCCGCACGTACCAGGTGCAGATGCAGGTTGTTCAAATTCGCCAAGAACCTGCGCACGCAGCCAAGGTGGGCAGCGCACCGGGCCGTCGGGCGGAAGGAGAGAAATGTTTTACGTCGGAAAAAGGCAAAGGGGAAGAAATAGATAGCAGTACTTTGCATGGAGCATATTTTATCCAATCGGCCAAGAGGCTGCTTGGATAATAACCTAGGAAATACGAGCCATAAGCGCCGGCTGTAATGCTTTATTTGTTATTTGTTGTCCAAGTGAGCAACAGGGCGCCTATCGAGAAGGCGCTGATGTGGGAGCGGGATCCCTGTGTTCCTGGGGTCCCGGTTCCTGGCGCAACAATCCCCAAGAAGGACTCGGCCAAGATTGTTGTGATCCCAGACTCCTCAACAGGCTTCCAGAGAAAGCTCGCAGAGTGTGTTTTCAATCGCTTCAGACCGCGGCGAGGAAGGCAAAGCCGCCGGGCATGCAGAAGTTTTGATCAGGTCGCTGCCTCTTTTAATCAGGTCCCCGCCCCGCAACCCCTAGAGACGGGCCTTCCTGGCCATGCCCGACGACAACGATGACGATGATGATAGATAATATAATATTGATGATGATGATCACGATGTTGATGTACTATTAAACCCACATGATGCAAGGGCGCCCTTTTGCAAAAAATCCCAATTGAGATTTGTTTTCCATTGTTTTATGCTTTGTTTTCCATTTACAGCACCATGCATCACCCCATCCCTGGTGTCCACCATCCGCCCCGCCCTGCCTAGGATTTCCAAAGCCTCGGGGGCCGTCCGCCCGGGTCAACCGGGCCAGGTTCAGCTCACGGCCCAGCCCAGGCCCATGGGTTCTAGCCGGGGTCAAGAGCTCGGCTGGGGCCACAGAGCTCAAGCCAAGACCAGGTCAGGCCAACCCATTCCCGCCCCCCAACTCACTCGGCGATATTGCTGCCCAGGCTCCGCAGCAGACGCGTGTACCCCTGCTTGATGACATAATTCACAAAGTACTGGCCGTACGCCTGCACGATTTGCACACATGCCAAAGGGCGGTGCAGAGAGATAAGCAAGAAAAGTGCGCCTGAAGAGCAGCTCCGAAACCAGGAGCTGAAGCACCTGAGTTGCCATATCAGAGGGCAAGGCATCAGAATTTCACCAGTCCAAAAATCCCTTCCCAGCCCAGCCCGCGGCCCTGCTCAGCCCAGCCCCGGCCAGATTTTCCAGCCCAGCAGGCCGCCCAAAACCCAGCAAAGCCTCGCAACCCCCAAACACCCAAACCCCGTCATCCCCCGCACCACAGCTCCCCCTGGCTAGAACTGACCAGCTGTCACCATTACCATCCCTGCCCTCCTGGCTTCATGACCCCAACCCTCAACGCAAATCGCCGCCTCGCGTGCCGTCCGCTTTCTAGACGCCGCTTGGGCATCCCAGGCGCCAACATCACAAACCAACACCCGCACGCATATGTGCGTTACATGGCCCGTACATGACCTTTGGTCCTGTCGGAGAGGAAAAAGCGTCCCTAGTGCCGTATTTCTTCCCATATTCATACATTCTAGAAATATGGGTGCTTGTTACAGTATATAATGATTACACTTCTAACAGTTACCCTCTCAGGACGCTCACCTCTAGAGCCTGCGGCACCGTCACGCCGAGAATGCTCGCTCCAGTGATAACCAGGTCATACGTGACCTTGTCCGGATAGGGGCACGAGGACACCCAATTGCAGTCCACGTGAGCCTGCTTGATGATCTTAAGCCAAGCATCCCGGCCGAAGGAGTCACATATGAAGGCCTCAACTGCGTATTGGTGTGCAAAAGGCGATGAGAGGCGGTGGCGATGGTAATGACGATGGTGAGGTTCAAAGGACACAACAACAAGTTCCCAGTTGGTGATGGTGGTGATGGGATTGCAGGGACAGAACAGGTAATTCAGTTGATAAGCACAAGCGTGTAAAATTGGCGTCGCAGGGCCGATGTGACGGGTTGAATGCTCGTAGGACATGGTGATGCTGCTTCCACCTTGCTTCTAAATCCATGACTTCTAAATCCATGACTTCTGAATCCATGACTTCTAAATCCATGACTTCTGAATCCATGACTTCTAAATCCATGACTTCTGAATCCATGACTTCTAAATCCATGACTTTCTGAGTGGCGTTCCTAGCTGGCCTAACGGCTGACTGCATCCCTCACTGACTGGATTTATATATTGATAATTCAGAGCACTTCAAGAGCATGCGCAGCCGGAGCGTGCAGAGTGGCGAAGCGTTGAGACAGGCTCCCGCCCAGTAGCATTACTTGCAGTAGCAGATATAACCCCTAACATACGCGTAGTGGCTTGGTTGGTGCAGTGCGTGAGCTGCCAAGAACAGAGTGCGGGGAAATATCCGGCCGCCTAGACATCTCAGAGGCATAGTGGGGAACAGCCAGGCAGGCTGCATGAATGAGCTACGAAGACTAAGCCGCTCCTGACTCGCATCTGTGTGACGACATAGGGAATAAACACCATGGCAGCATCCCAGGGTATTGCATGCCGGCCGACGGACTCCCTGTTTCCATGGCTCCACCACTTCGCACCCGCAACCTTTTATTTGCTAGGTGCGAGAAGCCGGGGGGTTTCCTGTCCTGCATTTTTCGCATGCTGACCACTTGCGCAAACCCCCAAAACCTATGCGCTCGGGTGCAGTCACTCCTATCGCGCCCTCGGTTACGGCAACCGCGGCCCATCATACCGCTGAGGTTAATCCTGCAGTTTGTGGGAGTGGAAGGGATCCAGAAGGCGTAAGAAAGCAAGGATTACATAGGTGAGCGACCTACAAGGAGCTCTTGGCACAGAAGATATGGAAGAACTTACTAAAACAGTTGCAGAGGCCCGCGGCCATCCCCAAGCATACTAAAAGTATTGTAATTGTTAACAGTTGCTGACTGAGCAAGGACCAGCAAGAAGCGGGCTGTTCCAGTGGTAATGAGCTCCTTACTTACCACCCAATCATTTGAGTATCTCCAATGTCAGCGTGTTGGAGCCACTTTTGGACGTCCGCTTATCGTCCAATGCTCCGCGACCGAGGCTCGAACGAGCGACAACTCAGGAGGTAGTTGACTAGGAAATGGCGTGCCACTAGCTCTATCCTTGGTCCAGCACCGAAAGAGAGGACGGTAGGTCCCTTTAATGTCTAAGTAGTACACTATTATTCCCAGCAACCTAACTTCTAAACTTGTTCTGCGACGTCAGGAAGTCGCACAGGGCGTAAGAAAGCCAGCTGGGTTTCTTCGCCCATGAACGGCGCAGCTAAGGTACTTTAATTCTTCTCTTCGCAGGGTCCTGCCAATTACAAGCAACTGAGTCAGTTCGTTCCTTCCGTACTCCAAAGTAACAGGCACGGCTTACAAGTTACAACACCCTGCCCATACATGCCGAATAAAGCTCAGTCTCGGAAGGGTTGCATGTGAAGGACTGTTAGAACCTACTGACCGGTCGCTGCAAGAGCGCCTAGTTCCGGGAGCCTTGCGGTACGGGGTAAGCTCTGAACTTGAGACGGCCAAGAGAAGCGCATGTGGGCAGCCTATAGCAAAAATCAAAGACACAATTTTGGTCATTTCATGTTTTCTGGCTGCGTCATGCAAGACAATGTGGGAAACTTAACGTTGGTGTAGATACTTTTTCCTGACTGCGGGCTCTTAGTTCAGCAGGAAGCCTGCGTTTTGCTGCTCCTGCTGGACTGCAAGGGCTCGTGCTGGCACATTCCGACGGCCCACGAAAGTGGGAGTTTCCACGTGCACCTTTGGTAGGATTTCTCATCCTGGAGAGACATCATGGGCTGCTTTAATTCCAAGGAAGCCTTGTACGACCCTAAAGGAACAGTTGGCCTTGCTGGTGGCAAGCCTCAGCATGCACCCGGCAATCAGGTTTCGGGTTCAGCATCGGGCCAGCACCCACCCGCTTACCTACTCGAGGCTGCTCCTCAAAGTATACTTCTTGGTTCAACGGGGCAGTTAACGCCGTCGGGTAACTCAGCCGGAGGCAAGTATGCCATTCCAAACTCCTCGCGGAACAGTGTCAGTGCGGGAGCACCCGGCGGCTCTTTCATTGCCTTGGGCGCGGCTGGCGGCTCAACTAGCGGCGTTTCTCGGCGGACGCCAGCTGGGAAAGGAGCACACGTATCAGCCGACCTAAATGCTATCGTTGACGACCAGGGGACCATTAATGCGCTTGTCAGCCGACAGTTATCAGTAATGAGCCATTACAGCGTGAAGAGTGAAGCGGGTAGTGTAATCCTTCAACCGGAGTTAGCGCACGGCCCCAACGCCTTGGGCTTCACGCTCCATAAGCTTATTGGCCGCGGCGGCTTCGGCAACGTGTACCTTGGAGAATGGGAGGGCCGCAAGGTTGCTGTGAAGGTGGTTACTGGAAGTAACAACGAAACCCAGGCGGATCAGGTGCGATGTGGTTGGGGTTACGAACTGTAAAGCCGAAAACAACCGGTACGAACATGACAGGCCTCCGTCGTTCAAGCCGCCCACGTAGAGTTTCCATGAGAGTCCTACAGGGTTGCATTTGGCTGCGATTTTCGTGAAAGGATGCTACTCTGCCTTAAATGGTATGGAAACAGCCTCTCTAGCCGGTTGGCAGTTAGCTCAAATGTGGTTAGCCTCTGGGCGTTGGCTGGCATCAAGCGCAAAGCTTCTCCCTACTTGAGGGAAGGGCTTTGTTTTTTCGGGACCTGCGCTTCTCTTTTCTGCATTATGCGGTTGAAAGGCCCATGAGGTGTATAAAGCGCACGGCCCTCTGGCCGCATTGCCGCACCTCCCTAAGTACAATACCGGTTAGATATGCTGTTTGCGTCATCATCGCGATGTGTTTCTAATAAATCAATGCTGCTCCGAAACCCCGCGCAGCCGGAGGATAAGGAGTGGGAAGCCCGTAAGGAAAAGATGGCGCAAATGGAGGCCATTCTCATGGCTTCAGTCAACCACCCGAACATCGTCCACACGCTCAAGGTAACAGGGGACGGAATTCCTCTCGCAGCTTGATATCCCCCGGGAAAAAGAAAACCCAAATCAGCTCGAGCTGTGCGCATTGCGCGGCGTAGTTTTCTTTTCGCCTTGGTTCGTCGTCCTTGTTAGATGGCCACCTCCGGAAATGTACAACATGCAGTTCAACGTGCAGCAGAAGCTTTTCGGAGGGGGCACGTATGATTAGACATGCTTGTTGCGCGCTTGTTGACCCCACATCCACGAAATCCGCACATGTGTCTATGTCCGCCACATTCAACACACTGCCTGCTGATACAAGGTCCTACGAGACCCTATGATACAAGGCCCTACCTTGTGCTCTTGTCGCTGGCTCGGGGCTCTGCTCACGCGCGTGATAACACCTGTCACCGACACCTCTTTCCTGAGCCTTCTGATGACCCGGTCGCTTTTTCGTGTTCCCTGCCCATCATCTTTGCTTACGTTACGTTGCGGGACTTCCGCCAGCATGGGGCTCATGCCCGGCTCATGTCGCCTCGCGCTAGCGCGTATGTGCTTTGTCCTTCATCCCTACCCACCCACATTCTTCGCTCACCTAAGCGAAATATGATCTCCTTCTGAACCCCTGTTTATTGACTTTCCTGTGTTGTGTGCTTAGGTCATTGCGCACCAAGGAGACGCCATGGATCCGGAGCTCGCAGCAATTGAGCGGGAGCTGTTTACGGAGCGGGACGAGGTGCGCGCGGCTGTGCATTGGCGGGAATGGCATGGCATGGGTTCGCTCGGTCGTTTGTGACGTGCATGCGTGGGGGAATATGTGAGACGTGGGGCATGGGCTGTGTGGGACGGATCTGAAGCGAGCCCGGCTCGGGGTCTGCGGCGCGGAGCAGCTGTAGACAGGGGAGTGTAGGTCAGAAGGATTCCTCGGAATGCTAAACGAGTTTAAGTTGGATTAGGTGAAAGGGCTCACTTAACAAAAAGCCTACGCCGCTCGTCGCCTGGGGAATCTCATCGCCTGTCTGCGCTCGCGTGTCTTGTTACTCTCGACCGATTTCTGGCAGCACAAGCATTGCCAGCACACACACATTGAAGTTGAGACCAGGGGGCCCAGTGTATGGTGGACAGGTCTGACAGGACTGACACCGATGTTGGCGTTTCCCTTGGTAGGACGACCGTCTTATATATGCAAAGGCGTGTTCCCTGCCTGCGCGCGCCTCTGTTGTTTCAGACGCCGTCAGAAGACCTAAATCACCGTGCTGTGCCGCCCCCTGCACTGCCCTCGCGCCCCCTCGCCCTCTTGCAGCAGCATACGCCCGCGTTTGAGTGGCACATTATCATGGTGAGTTATTAACTTAGGTTTTTGGGTGCGGATTAGAAAGGGTGAGAGGCTCTCCTACGCGACTCGTCGCGTTCTTGACGCTTGCACGTAATTCAATTTTCTAGGTTGTCGGTTCATCTTTATGGATTGTCAGCGCTTTGACAATTATCAGGGGGTTTAGCAGTCGCGAACGAGTTGGGAGCTAGCGAGCACTTCAGGAAAGCCATTGCGGAGTGCGGGATCCTTGGCTGCTTTTGATAGGCGTAGACGTATCCACACTGCAGCGTATCCTGTACTTGCATTCTACGCGCCATACGGCGCATGCTGCTGCCCGTGTATTTAGTTGTAGGGTCGAGAAGCAGTCGTTCCATGCTACCCGCGCCGGAGCCGGCGTGGAGCCGTAGTACCTGTACCTAGTACCTATTTATCTGCACCTGTAGTACTTTCCTGTCGATTCTTCTTCCGTGCTTGTGCCGAATGACCACCCCGAGTGTCGCGCTTCCACACACCACGCAACCTTGCAGGAGTATTGCGACCGGGGATCCTTTTCACGCGCCTTGGCGTCTATGCGTTTTCACGAGGTAGGTGCGCGCGGTTTCTCGATTCGCGGTAGTGCCAATTCAACATTTATGACAGCATAACCGTACGACGTATGTGAACATCTATTATTTATAAGATTGCGCGGGCTGGGAAGTACGGTCTTGCATACGATGCGATGAGAAAAACGTGTTGGAATGGCCCAAAATACGAGTTGCTGCTGCCAGGGCTCGCCAAGGCGCGCCTTATAAAACACACAGGACTTGCCATTGGGGACTTTAATTTGTGTGTTAATTCTCCCGTATAAGACAGTTTACGCAAAAGTCATTCTTGGCCATTGGATTGCATGGCGCACGAGTTTAAACGTGCCGAGGGTTAATATGTTCAGGTCTTGGACGTCATAAAACACAACACGGGAACCATATGTAACTACCTGCAGCTCATGGCACCATCAACTCGATCTACCATCATACTACCATCAACTCAATGGCACTGCTTCTCGCACCCGTGGGCATCTACTGGGGTTGCCGGTGTGGAGACCTGAATACCTGAGAAGCAAGCGTATTACGTATTGTACGAACGTATTCCTCAACGTATTGCTTCACGAAATTTCCTAATTTATCGTATCGGATTTTTACCCCGTATAGTACTGCGTGTTTTCCAACCCTGCAAAAATGTTCGCCATGGAGAGCGGCGTAGAAGGGAGGAAGGGCTATAACAGTTTAGGCAGCCGCGGGGCTACACGCCATGGGCACCGCTTTCCATCCATACGGGCTTTGGAGGCTTGTCGTTTGGGTAGAGCCAGATCCGTCGGGTAGAGTGACCCCTGGGACTACAATGCCTTGCGGCCGTGCATCCCATGGCGTGTGGGACAGCAGTCGCGGTTGCGGAAGCAAGCCACGTCCTACTAGCAACAGCATCTGCACCTACACCGAACAGTTACAACGACGCTATTATGTGAAACCGTTTTTGCACGTCGAGTTTCTTATTATGCACGTGGCCCTTCTGATGCACGTGGCCCTACACCATGGCGAATATGCCAACCGCGTCCATGGCCATCACCATGACCCTCAATTCAGCCCGGGACGTGGCAGGGGGCGCCACACAGCACTAACTGCATCAGCACCAATGTACCTCAGCTCGCCGGCTTGCAGCATGTGCTATACACCCCACAAACGCGCGAGCTTATGTCCTCCGAAACCACCGTCCTGCCCCGGATTCACGCCGGCCCCGCCTCACTGTTTGAGACTCGTTGTCCTCTCGCTGTACCCCCCCCCCCGCTCCTGCCATGGGACGACGGTACGGCAGTTTGTGGAGACGGCTGGGTACGTCCGGTGGGACGCGTGGGCGTGTCTTCAAACTCTAAAGGAGGTCACCAAGGCGCTCATCTTCCTGCACGAAAATCGCATCCTGCATGGCGACTTGAAGGTGAGCACCGGTGCTTCTCCAGGCTTGGCTCCCCATTCCAATCCGTCGGACCCCGTTTGCGCTTGCCGCCGCGCTGCGGGAAGTTCTGAGCACCGCGGGGGACGGCAGAGCGTGTACCCATATGTTCAAGTGCTGCAGCTAGCTGACACAGCTATTCTGACAGTTAGGTAATCGGGGAAGAGGGGCGCCAGGTAATCGGCGCAACCGTAGGCACGTATTGCGCGATATGGCCGCCGCTGGTTTGTTGAATTGACAACCGTTGAAATGGCTTTTGTCATAGAGTGCTGCATGCATGCAGGCTCTTGGGCTGATTTTCGGTACGCCAAATGAACCGGCCGGGGATTTTCCCGTGGAAGAATTTCGGGGTTGTGTGAAGAAGATTGAATCCGAAAACGTCACTCAGTCGCAAAACCTCGCTCTTAACGACGCAGCGCGCGATGGCTGTTGGAGCGAGATGGCAACGATTTAGGCGCCTAACGGGCCGAATTGTCGTTAGGTCCATTCCGTAGATCACCTATTGCCGCCTCTTTTTGGCTCATTCGCAAACCCTCATTTTAAATACTTCGCAAGCACGACATCCTATAACCCTAACCCGCCTCCTCCCATGTCAGGCTGCCAACGTGTTGCTCAGCAGCAGCGACAATGATCGTCGCGGCTTTGTGGCTAAGGTTTCCGACTTTGGCCTCAGTCGTGTCTTGGCGGGGAACCGCAAGGAAATCAAGACGCAGACGTTTGGGACGGTGAGTTATGTGCACCCATAGCTGTGGCCACAAAGTTTAGGGACCACCCAAGCCGTGTGACCGACCTGTTGCGCGCCTGCCAGAAGGGCTAACGTTTGCGTATTTCAACAGGAAAAAACGCGGAAGATTTCTGGGTAGGATCTAGGCGTCGTGTCGTAGTTTTCGGCAGGTTCTGGTCGTTTCCGGGAAGAAATGGCTGGCATCTCCCAACCATCGCCGGCCACACGCCAGCCTCCTGCGATTCCACTCCGCCATCCGAAGCGAGGGAAACATGATCTCTTATCAGGACATCAGAAGCGTCGAGCTGTAGAAAATGAAAAAAAATGAAAGTTCTGCTCTTCACACCTTCCCGCGTTCGATAACATCTTGGGGCTGCCCGTTGGTCGCACCATTGTTGCTTGGAAAAATTCTCTTAAATTGTCACACCGTATGCCTGTACGGCAGGTCACCCACATGCCACCGGAGTTGTTGTCCAAGGGCATCTTGAGCCCGTCGGCAGGTGAGAGATTTTCGGGTGGGCCCCCCCCCATTAATGGTGTTTGGGCTTTCCTGTACCTGCCTTTCCAACAGCCAATGGGCGAATCTTGCTTTATTAGATATACAGTGAGCCGTCATGAGAAGAAGGTCACCGGCGCAGACAGCTTAACACACAAGTTGTGTAGAGCAGTAATGAGCACGTGGTCCTCGAGGGAAAGTGTACGTGCTAAATTCCTGGGGACGTGCGCTCTCGCCTCTCGCAGAAGGCTGCCCGTTCTACCCGTTGCGGAATGTAGAAACGCACCCCGCAAATTTGACATTCCATTTCGTACACGGCATGCTGCCCCGTCCCTCGCCTCGTCCCTTTCCTTCGCCGCGCTCTCACTCGGATTCTATCCGGGGCTTACGTCCCTTTCCTGGCCCCAACTTCCACTCCTTGCCGCAACGTTTGGTTCGTCCCCGGCCGTTGTCCGTTGCGTTATATGCCGCCTTTCGCATTCCCGCCTGCAAACGGTACTTCCCTTCCTAGCACCACTCCTCCATGCATCGGCCTCCCCGGTACTCTCCTTCCTAGACACTGACTTCCGCGACACCGACTTCCGTGACACTGACTTCCTCCAGACGTGTACGCTATGGGCGTGCTGTTATGGGAGGCCTACAGCGGCGACCGAGTGTTTAAGCAGCTGAGCGATAGCGAGGTCATCCTTGCGGTGGTCACGCGGAAGGCCCGACCGCAGTTCCCACCGGACACGCCGCATCGGTGAGTTCCTTAATGACATTATGGGTTGTCTATGATACACCTTGCTACAGCAATCCTGGCATAATGTCAGAGAGTAACGCAACTCAAGGGCTAGCACACGCATACATGCAAATCAATCAGTCCGTATTTACGGAAATGGTGGTGGAGGATAGAGATTTACCTCGTCTCCTTTGCTGCTATTGAAACGGCAATTACCTTTCTCCTTTCGCGCCTTGGACTGTGGCTTCAGGTTTAAATACCTTGCGGAGCGATGCTGGGCGGAGCTGGCTGAGGTACGGCCCTCCCTGCAGCAGCTGTACAACGAGCTAGAAAACTTGCAGGTGCGCGTGCGTGAGTATGTACGCGTGTTTATGTTGGAGGGTGCGATTGTGTAATACCGTTACAGCGTCTTGAGTGAGAGAGGGAGCTATGATGGGTCTGGTTCACAGGTAGCGAATATTAAAGCCAGGGAATCCGGAAAGGGGGTTATGAAAGCGGGGGAGTATGTGGAGGGAGGAGGGTATGGATTACAGCGGGCCTCAGTATGAGGGAGGAGTGTCTTAAAGGCTTTTGACCCGTTGCTCTTCGCTGCTGGCGCGCGGCCTGCAGGCGCAATTGTGCCCCCAGGGTCAGGACTCGCCGCGGCTGTTGGTGCAGTCATGTATCAAGCAGAAGCGGAGCGTAGGCGCAGTGCCACCTGTGCAGATGGCCGGAGCCAAGGGGCCGGGGCAACAGAGCAGGCTGGCACAGGTAGGGTTGGTGTTTCCTTGGGAGCGGATGAGATCTTGAGAGTTTCAGGAGGTTAGGGGGGTGCTGGCACCCTAGGATCAGGCCCAGGTTTGGAGCCGGTTGCACGCCAAGGGAAGGCGGCCCGTGCATCGCGTGAGGGTCCTGGGAACCTGGGACGTGCACAAAGAGGATGATGCAGACTGATGCTTTTGCCCTGCTGCCTGTAAACGTGCACATTAGCGAACGGACACAATGGGGCATATGCAACCTGACGGTATCAGTATCAAAGAAGTATCACTCTCAATGAACCGTTTTTAGCCACAGTTCCCACAACGTTCGGAAATGTCGATTGGCAGCACGCGCGCACGGCCAATCCTTTCGAATCTGACACAACAGAAGCCCTAAAAACCCTAAGTTAGTAGATGGCGGTGAGGCGACATGATGGTAAGCGTCTTAGCTTTTCCCGGTAACCATGTGCATTTTTCTTTCTGAGTTGTCAAAGTTGGTTTTGTTGCTGAGTGCCAAACTGACGCGCGCCGCAAGCGTCCGTCGTTCTTGTGACTGGTTTTGAGCGTCTTGACCTCTTGGTTTCGGGGCGCGGTGTTGGGCCCAGGGTGTCAGCACCGACGGGACGGCCAAGGGCGGCTCCACGGCGCTTCCCAAGGCAGTCTACACGTCCACCCCAGGTGAATCTGACAGTCCGCATCATCATGATATGCCAAGGGGGGGATTGGCACGTCAGGAACCAGCAACAAGCATCAACCTGACACGCATGACATGGCATGGCATGACCTGTTGCAGCGCGGCGTGTGCATATACCTTGGTGGAAGAAGGGTACGGATTTCATACGGCAGCAGGCCCTCTGCGTGCGCCGCATGCGGCGTCTGCAGAGCTTACAGAAGCTTGAGGACGGGGTGGGCGTGGCCTGAGCATGGGAGTCCGTGTGCATATGCCGAGGTAGCTTAATCCCGACCGCAAGGCTTTTGCGGTCCTAAATTCCCAGAGCTGGCCACTGTAAGGGTTATGCTGAGGCTTTTGCCGAAACGCGGTGAGACAGAAGCGCAACAGAAAGCGCAACAGAATCAACTCCATGTAGCATTGCGGGCGCACATTTTTGTGCTGGTTCTCAACCACCTTCCAACTTCCAGGTAACGACCTGACCCATGTGCATTTTTGCATGCACGCTGCTCCGCCTTTGCTGCAGGGCGTGAATACAACAGCGGTGGGGGGCACCTTTACGTGAACTCACCGCTTGGGGCAGGCCCCGGCGGCGTCGCTAGCCATGGCCCGTCGCAGGTACGGCCTGAAAGTCCGTTTTAAATGGCCTGAGCCGCGGGACTAGCCGGGAAAGGTGGCCGGGAAGTGTGTATGTGATTAGTGGCGGGTTAGCATCTTTTGAGAGCAAAACGGAGGCCCCGACATGCCCAAGGTAAAGGAACGGGTTCCAGCAACGGGTTCCAGCAACGGGTTTCAGGAACGGGTTCCAGGAACGGGTTCCAGGAACGGGTTCCAGGAACGGGTTCCAGGAACGGGTTCCAGGAACGGGTTCCAGGAACGGGTTCCAGGAACGGGTTCCAGGAACTGAATGGAAAGAAGAGGAAAGGCCTTTGGATAAATGTGTTTGGAGAAGAAGGCAAGAAGGGCAAATGTGGCTGCGGGTGTGGGGGTTTACCTAGAGCTGCATAACCTACCGTGGAGCAACGAATGTGCCCCGGGGTAATCGGCAACGGGGAGGACGACGCCCCGAAGACACACGGAAACGCCCGAGCCGTACCTGAGGCAATCTCTCCCCATGCTTTGCGATCTGGGCTGTGGACGTTTTGTGCTCATCCCTTCTTCAGTCCTGCCGTTCGTGTGCCGTCTCCTACCCTCCAAACCATCCACGTCCCCGCAACTGCGGCACCTCCTCACAACGCTGCATGTATGCCAGCTGCGATCAACCCCCCCCCACCACCAAAAACCAAAAACTAAACTACAGCCGATCCAGGCTAACTTATGAACCCAACCACTCACCAGGCGGACAAGCTCAAGACCTTTGCCGCTCTCAATCGCACCCAGCAAAGCGCCAAGAAGAGCAGCGAGCACGGCAATGGCCCGCCAAGCGGTAACGGCTACGGCTCTCCAGTTCAAGGAACGGGTGCTGGACCGCCTGGCCCAGGCTCTGGCCCGCGACCTGTGGGCCCTGCAGCTGGCCTCGGGGCAAGCGTCGCGAGGCCGCTGATGAAAGTACCGTCGTTGCATAAGGCCCGGGAGGTGAGACGCGGCTCCTGGGAAGGGGACGGGTAATGATAGTGTTAGGTATATGTGTAGTGCTGTGAATATTTGCACCCGTGTCATATACTTTTTTTGTCACGTTACTCTGATTCAAAGGCGTAACTATAAGCCCGCATGCGCCCGGGTGCCCAGGGGTGTATGTTTAGGGTTAGACATATCACGGGACTGGGGCATGTACTAAACTGGCGCAGGCGAGGTCTGAGGGATCGAGGTGGGGATTGCCCACATGCATCTGTTTCCTCGCAGCCCCCGTTTACGATCCCCTTGAAAGTGGGGACGCGCGCCGGCAGCTGAGGCTGGGAGGCTGAAGCGTTCTGGGAAGGCCTTTCGATTCTGTTTGCTCTGTTGTTGTTGACACAGACGGTTCCAAGGCGCGCGTGTAAGGCAATTGTAGGATGGGGCCAAGACCGTGCAGCAGAGCTGGGGACTAGGGCTGCGGTGTGGGGTCAAGCAACGGCCGTATCTGCCCCGTTGGGGAAAGCTATCCTCCAATCCAACAGCAAGCGCTTTTGCCGCGCGCATACGCGTCTTCCTCTCAGGGACAGTGCCCGAGTTGCTTTCAATTCCCAAACCCATCCCCGTGTTAACCCATCCCTGACCCCGAAACCTTCTCTCGGCATGTTAATACATACTGGCATGCTGAGAACTGAGCTTTTCCGTCCCATCTTGCCGCTGCTGCAGTCCGAGCTGAGCGTCTCACACTCGGCTGCGTCCTCGCCCACACTCATATCGCCATATTTCAAGGCAGCCACGTCAGGTCCCTTGTCGCCTCTAAAAAACGGCAGCTTCGCGCAACATCCTGTTGTTGCCGTCCAGTCGCAGCCCATCGCTCAGCCAACGGGCGGCTTTCCCCCAGCGCCGTCGAACCGCGCCGCCTTGGCCAATACGGCCGGCCTGTATTCGCCCATAGCGGTTGGGGGCGGGGGCGGGAATGGCGGCATGTCGTCGGGCCCCTTGCCGCCACTTAATATCGCCACCACCAACTGCAGCCCCATGCTCATAAACACGCCTGCTAGTCCAGGGTCTTCGGGGGCAATAGGTGAGGATGCCTGGTAGTTGGCCTGGGCCGCCTCGGCTACACCGTAGGTTGATGTTGGTCGATAATCTGGGTGAACTGAAGTTCAACATTGGGGGTCAGGGGGAACAGCGGGAGTGAAGGTCTCGACAGAAGGGTCCAGTAGCGAAGGGAGGGAGGGAGGAGGTTGACAGTTATTGCTCCTGTGGCTTATGTATGTGCGTGTTTTGTGTACGTTGTACTAGTGCTATACGCAAGGGAACATCGCTTACGGCAGTTCGCAAAGCGCGCGTCACCTTGTGTGTGTGTGTGAATGCGTGTGCGTGTGTGTGTGTTGTGTGTGTAAATGCATCCATATTCGCGTCCAATGGCTATCGACGGCTCAGCACGTGTTAGCCGTAGGGAATTTTGAGGCCGAGACTCCAAAGGGGGCGACACGGGTGCAGACCCACAAGCTGCGGCTCTCGGCCCAGATCAGCCCGGGTTTTGTCTTGCCCTGCCATGCATTTGCCCTGCCGTTAACGGTCCGTTAGCGCTGTGCCGTCCATGCGTCGTCATTCTTGCTCCCTGTACGTTTGCTTTCTGGCTGCTTGCCCTTCTGCCTGTCATTCTATGTGCGACCTTGCCTGCTTGCCTTCCCGTAAACCTGCGCTTCCTCCTGCCTGTTTCATCCATCCATCCATCCAGACAGACAGACAGACATTCTCTCGGTCTTGTGTGCAATCCCGCCTCTGCTCATGGCCCTTTTTTCATCTTCTTCTTCCCCTCTCTGCTTAGGTATGATTGGTGGCAGCCCCGACTCGCCCCCCGTTGTTCCGAACGAGTTCCTTGGCCGCGCACGCACCGCCTCCGCTACCGGCATCAGCCGGCCCAGTCGCTTTGGACACCACGAAGAAGCCGTGGCGCGCCAGGCGTCAACAGGCAGCGTACCCGCTACCTCCAAGCTCGAGGTCCTGGCCTAACCCCTAAATCCTAAACAACTCGTTTTTTTTCTTGCTCCGCCCTGCCGTACCGCCTGGCTGCGCGCTTTCGCGCTCGTTACTGGTCATGTTGCACCGCGTCTGTGGCCTAGGGGTAACTGTTCGCCCAACTGCCAAGCCAACGGGCAACCGTGCCTTGAGGCACCGGAGCTGGGATGTAGCCATCGGTTGAACAGCAGCAGCGTACGGGAGACAGCCTGCAGGCTGCGGCACTCGAAAGGCTATAGCCTAGCCAAACAGACAGAGTTCGGTCCGGACCCGCAAAGCGCACACCCTGTGACACGCTTGTGGGCCACAGACAAAGCCGCAGCTCCCGCCTCGCCCTAAGGTTTGAACGCGCGGCCTCGGCGGTAGGCTTCGGGCGACTCAGCCAGGGCGACTCAGCACCCCAGCAGCGGGAATGCGACCGGCGGGGACTTGGGGTATGTGTTGGGAGGGTTCCCTACACTCGGAATTGAGGTTGTTCGGTTGCTGCGGCTCAGACGCTCAGCTTAGGCTACCTGCACACCGCTTGCGACGGGACTGGGAAGGCAACCACGCGGGCGCCACCCATGGCAGCAGGCAACTTAGGGCGTGTTACCTATGATCGCTGTACGCGAAAAAGACAGACATCCGGAAAACAGGGAAGGGAAACAACTGGGTGGTTCGTGGGTATTGACTGTCGCGTGAGGTGTAGCCGGTGCAGAACGGTAGCTGCTAGGAAAGGAAGTCCGACATCTTTACGTCTGCAGCGGGACACTGCATGGAATATTGGCAACCAGGGTTGCCTATAGCCGTGGGCTTTATGCGGAGAGTTGGCACGGCGCTACAGGAGGGGCCACATGCCTGACTCGCCTAGCGCAGAAACCTACAGGAAAGGCGGCGGGCCTTCCTCACCCCGTTCGACTTCTTGCCTGGTGGATACCGCTGGAACATGCGGCTTGAGTCGGGCCCTGGGCGGGTGGCGACAGAGGCGGAACGGGAAACCTAGCTGGGTACGAGAACGTGAAAAAATTCAAAGCTCTGAACCATTGCCGACAGCCAACAGCCAGCAGCCAGGCGTCGTGTGTTCTCCCCGCTCACATATGCTCTCTTTAGTACCAGTATGAATGCACGGGTGAAGGGGTTGTGGGCGATGCGATTCAAAGGGCACGGCACGCAACCAGTCGCAACCCACAGAGCTTATCTCCCAGGGGCCCGTCCAGGGGCATGGATGCAAAGCGCAGTGGAGAACAATTATTAGCCAGGTATGGGCAGATACAGGCGTGGCTCCTCTTTCTCCAAGATTACGGCGTGTATGTGGTAAACGTAGAAGGTGGAGGTTTGGGCAAGACACGGCTTAGGGCAAATCCAAATTGTGTGGAGTTGCGGCTTATGTACGCCTTCATTGTGTGCGTGTGTGGGGGGGGGCCGGTGGGCGGGCAGGGGTGCAGACGCAGATGACAGGGGGTTGGCGGGGTCGCGCCGTGCTTACACACGAGGGCCTTGTTTGCCTCAGCTGCTCGGTACAGTCGCTGCTGCGGTCTCTGTCCAGCATGTGAGTTGGAGGTAGAGAGTGCGGCACGGCTTGCCGGGGCTTTGGTGAATATGCAGGGGTTGCCAGAAGCTGCCTTGTGCTATGCACGGCGCGCTCCACGGCTGCCTGGTGCTATATGCATAAGGGGAATGGGGGTCACCGTGTTCGTATTGACATACCATGCCAAAAGCATGAGTTTGTGAAATTTTTCGGAGGCTTTGGTTTTGGAGGAGGGAGGAGGGCGAAGGCTCGACCATCCAGTCGATCGCTCCCGTTGACACGGAGCGATGGCCGCCGCAGAACGGCAGCAGTTGGGGGTTGTTCCGTGTACAGTATATTTGGCCATGCTTTGGACGGGCGGCGATGGGTGCAAATACCGTTACACGACACGCCGTACGTAGCTAGCAATACCCGTGAAGCAGCTTGGGCTGCGGGGTTGAGGGATGAGCAAGTCGCGCACTGTGTTCCCCCTTCTATCCTCCCCTGGTGCTAAGAGTCTCTTAATAATCTTTTCCAGCATTAGGGGGGCCAAAGAAGTCTCACATGAAGTCTCACGGCACACGCATCTGGGCACGGCTTTCGGTCCATGCACCCGGGGTCGGCTCTGTGACGTTGTCGTAATATCCTTCGCTGCCCGCGTGTTGCGTCGTGCGTTTAATTTTCTCCGTGCCACAGCGGACAGGGAAGAGGAAAGGCGTGTAAGGCAGCAGAGCGGGATTGGGAGACTCTGGCTCAACACATGGCTGCTAACGTAGAGCTTTAGATGACAACAACACTCTTGTGGCTGGCTAATTTTTTTCTCAAAGGAGCCCTAGGTCGAGTGTTACGGTGGTGGGAAGGAGCCGGATGGTTTCTATCCTAGGGTGCTCAACAATGGGAACACTGCCAGTCTGGTGTCGGGGTGTGTATGTATGTGTGTGTATGAGTGGCGCTTCCTGTTTCTCTCTGTGCCTACACGTCATGCACGTCTGTGTCATATGGTGTTTCCCTGCGTTGAAATCAGGAGGCGATGTCCATGGACGCCGGCGACCGTCCATGGATGCTATAAGCCCGTAGTAGGGCGTTGTCAGCATGGTTTGGTTCCTGTAGCGCATGGTCAGTTTGGCTGGGCGCCTTGATGGCTGGCTAGCCTGACGTACATGGTCAGCATAACTGGACGACTTGGTGCATGCACAGCACATGGCGGTCGGTGCATTTGCGATGCGATGCGATGCAATTTGTTATTGGTGAGCCGGGGTTAGCCGGGGTGCCGAACTGCCGTGGACCAGGCCAAAGTCTCCACCGTGGCCAACCCGCTACTGTTCTACTGCTGTGGCAGCTGTAGATATCGCGACTGGCGGAATAGGTTGGCGGTATAGGTCCTCCCTTCTTTGCTTCTGTCTTTTGTCTTGTGTGGCTCGTATTCAGGTGCCGCGCCCCACCCAACCCTATGTCAGCGCCCAGTGCCCTTCCTGGTGTCCAACAGTGCGCTAGCGAATAGCCGGCCACTTCGCAAACCACAAGAGGCCCCAAATAAGACAAGGCGTCCATGGGCGCCGCATTGGGCCGGCGGTCGCTGGCTTGCTTGCCTGTTAAAGACCTGTAGTGTTGCACAGACCGGCCCACCTACACGGATAGAAACGGTTTGAAATCCTTATGTGCTGGGGCTGGCATGGCGATGTCGGTGCAACACGGGAAGAAAGCCGGTAGGGACCGGCGAGCCAAGGAGGGCCCCAAATGGCCAGATGAAGCCCTGCTGCCATACGCAACCGAATCACATGTCTGCCTTCCGGTCACCTGCTCCAGCTGCAACATTGGCTTCAACTGCCACACCCGCATATGCGGATGCAGCGCGGGGACTGCGGAGAGGAGATGGGATGTAAGCTGCATGCATGCGGCATGAACAGGCAAGGCCAGCTTATGGCGAGAGCTCCTTCGTAAGCGTGCGTGCATGTGTGTGTACGCGTGTATACGTTGTTTGTGCGTGCATGGTTAGTGTTGGCTGCTGCGTTGTCCACGAGGCATGTGCACGTGAACACTGCTGAGTTGTCCACGAGACACGTGCACATGCGTGTGGAGATTTGCGTTTTCATTGTGTGGGCCCCAAGTGGAGTCCAACTCTGTCGTGTACAATAAGGCGTGAGCAGCGGCTGTGGCTGTAGCTTTGTGAGCAGGCCGGACGGGGGGAGTCGTGGCGTGAGAGTTTGCCGGGAGAAAAAACGGTAGGAAGGCGAACGCCGGGACATGGGCTGTATTCGGCGACGCCATATGCCTGCGGCTACGCCCAGCGAACACACGCCACATACGCACACGCGGCCCGTGTCGCGCTGTACCTATGTATATGTATGTATGTTGTTACAGGGTGGTTAACTTCGCCAGCGGCCCCCTTTCCCGGGGCAGTCCCTGCTCTCCCCTGCTAGAGGGGCACCCTAATCCGTCACCCCATCCGACTTCAGAATGTATTCGTTGGGTTCGGCAACTCACCACCAGCATCCAACCAAATCTAGCGGATCAACGGCGCATCAACTTAGTTCCTGGTCAGCTCGCAAGTTGATATTATCACGTCCTACACCGTCCATATGATGGGGGGCCACCTCCCATTTCATCACTCCTCAAACACCCGAGGAGCTGGCAGGCGGATTTGAACCCGGGTCGACTGGATCGACTGGGAGCAGAAGTCAGGCCTTAACTTCTGCCAGCCGCCTGCCAGTATATGTATGTATGCATGTATGTGCTTACCAGACGTGCTAACCTCGATTATGGCCTAAGCTGGGATGGGAACCGGCCCCGGGACCTGAATTGCACAAGAATATATATAAAAATTGAGGGAGAGGGAACCTGCGGCAGTGGAGGGAACGACGTGAGCCGGCACTCCGGTCGGTGCCGCGGCGGCGGCGGCGGCGGCGGAGCCAACTTGAGATAAGGCCGGGGGGTTTGGGGCGGTAGAAATGACGGTGGTGTTGAGGAGCGGGAGCAGGGAAGTTTTACTCTTGAGGGCGGAGAGACGGCAGCAAGGCGGGAAAGGCGAACAACACGGGAAAGGCTGCAAGGATGGCGATGACGGCCTTGACTTGGCATTCACTTGGGGAAGGCGGAAGGCGGACGCGGCGGCGGATTCAGACGGTGGCGGCAGGAACGATGAGAGGATGTGGATGGGCTGGGTGGCTGCGGCCGTACACAGCGAGTTTTCGCTTGGGCGCTGATTCTCGTCCCAGATGTATCTTAGGTGCCACTATGGCGCGATGTGATGTGGGTTCCGGATTGGTTATGGTTCATTATTGTTATGCAAAAAAGGGAATCAGGACGAGTAATCGATTGGATCGGGTTAATTGTGGACATCAATGTACAGCACAACAAAGGTGTACATAAGGCGGTGGTCGTGGAAGTCGTGGAAGCGGTCATGCCGACGGTTAAGGAAGAAGAAGAGGGAGCTGACATGGAGGGGTAAAGCTCGCTGCTGCTCGTAAGACCGCATTGCGGAGCAGACCAAACCAGCGGGGTTTCTAATGACTCGTCTGCTTTCGCATGACCCGTCTATGCAAGTGTGTGTGTCGGCTGTCTGTCTGTCGATTGGTTGGGTCGTGTTGCTGTTCCCGGGGTCTAGGGCGACGTCGTCAGGCGGCTGCCTAGTCCACGTCTTATTGCGCACCGATGATGGCTGGCGCAGCGGTTTAAGCACAGATGAGGGTGCTCGGTGCGCCCCGTGGGATGTTATCTAAGGGCGAGGATTATGAAATGCGAGTGCCATGGAACGCAAAGGTGAATTCGGGTTGGATTTTAGTCTTCATGTTGCAGAGGCACATGTGGGAGGATTGGGCATGCGCTCCGAAACCAGAGTCCTAAATCGTGAGCTGACGGAATGGGGCTGAACGATGCATGTTTGATGCGCGTGATGGTGATGGCTGAGGCGACGGGGATGACAGGTCGCGTGGGTGCAGTGGACTCTAAAACACTTCTCGGGAATGGCCGGCAGCCGTGGTGCATTCATGTTTTCCTTATCCTTGGCATGGGAAAAGATAAAGGCTGAGGGAGGTCTGTTCCTATCGGCTTTAGGCCTTTTTTGCAGACTCGCGGCTCGGCTAATGAACGTGTTACTTGGTCGCACATGACTTGAAAATGTTATAATTGTGGACGTCGCCTTAACGCCAACGCGAAGGTGGTGGTGTCTCTTTTCTGTGTTTTCTGTATAAACTTTTGGGGTCGATGCGGGTCCTCACGATCTGGCCGTGCGAGTTGACGCCACACATATCACGCATAGAAGGAATGGCAGTACTTTTCTCCTAGGGGAACCGCGTCTTTACAGTCCTGCCGATAACGAAATAATAAATAACCAGACACACAAGAGTGTACGGCATTTATATTCTTGTCTTCTGGCAGGTTACTGCCAGCAAACTGCTTGACGACACACAGTGCAGAGCAAGTCCAGTCCACATGGACGCGCATATGGACAGCAATATATGCAGCAGGCAAATGCCATTAATTTTTGTGGAAGAAGTTGACCGGCGCACGGAAGTTGACCGGCGCCACTGTACAAGGACGCAGTGGCATTGTGTGTGAGCATATAGAAGCATCCTGGTACGTCACGGCTTGGAAAACGGACAGAGATGAAGACTGATAAGAAGGAATTCAGCGCAGTTTATGAACCCAGCGCGGCCCGAAAAGCGAGTCAAGCTGCCAAAACGTCCAGCTTGCACACCGATGCCGTATTGCAGGCAAGGGCTTCTTTCTGCGGGTACATCAAATGTTGCACACGATATGACATTTTCGCAAAATGTACACAAATGACCACCAATGACCACGTCAACAAATCGCAAAAGCAAGGCAAGGCAAAGGCAGCCGGGTTACAACGGCTGGTTCCAACAAGTGCTCGCGAGCACGCCTGACGCAGCGGATTGTAGCAGACCAAAAAGCACTTTAACACCGATGGAGGTTGCCATCCACGCAGAATCAAAATTTGCTGAGGCGCGGGTAATTTGCATTGCACTGGAGTCCTTGCCTAAGCAGGCACGTTATTAACCACGCATGCCGCCCAGATTGCAGGCAACTGCAAAGCAACGCGTATTACATGTCAACCAAAACTACGACTCGCGTTGCCCTCACCATCCATCCATCATCCTGGCACACACTCCAGTGAAAGAAATAATCATGGTTTCGCGCGGTACTGATAGATTGCCGCCCTAATTTGCATAATATGCCTTATGACGTCGCTCTCTAATCCGTGCGAATGTACAGCAGCAGCCATAGCCCGCCATAGGCAACAGGCTAGCTCACCGTTTCATCCCTGATGGCTAAACGAATGGCCTTGCAGCTGCATCCTGTACAACACAACAATTGCTTGCCGTATGCTAGGTATGAGGCCGCGGGACCCGGAGGGACCTTCTTTGCCAGCCCCAATTTTCGGCCTTGCCCTTCAAGTACCCGGCGCCCACAGGGCCGCAAGAAAATCACCTTGCGCGGTTGTGTAAGAGTTTATTCATGCAATACTTTATATTTATGGTGCTTCCAGCATGATGAGCACATGGTTCTGGTTTGGATTAAAAGGCCATCCACCCATTCACCCGCTCGCCCCACTCGTTCATCGCAAGCAAACAGCACAAGCGCGGTAGGCACGGCTTTGTGAGCTTATACCGCCCCTTAAACACTTGCAGTTGAGATTGCCGTACATACAGACAGGTTAGACAGGGTTATGCATCAAAATAACCGGCCCGTGCTTGAACTTGTTATGGCCTTCACTCACAGTCATGCAGCTCACCAGAGGCCGCTGTCAGTACGACAACTTATGGCTCCGATACTGCTTGCCGAACACTAGTGAAGTAGAGGGGTAAAAAGCTTCGCCCGTGGACATTACATTAACCTGGTAGTCCATACCTTTCTCGACGTGTTTCGGCGCAACCTTATCCTTCGGTTCATCCACCCACCCATGCTGTCTTCTGCGAGGTCAAAATAGAAATTTTGGGGTTAGCACCCACCACCGCCACCATCCAGTGGAATTTGCCGGATGAACGGCGTCGACAACTCTACTCCTGGTCGGCTCGCAGGTGCCGCTATAACCGGGTTTATCATCAACGTCCATTGCACGGGGGACCATCCACTCTCGTATGGTCGGGGTTTTTTACCCCCAAGCCTCGCTAATCCTCCAAGGACACTAAGCCGCGCCTTAGCCAAGCTGAACCTGGAGCCATGTATAGGTGTACAACGACGTTGGCAATGTACCGATAATGCATACATAATTCAGGCGCACTCCCAATTGACATCAGTGACATAATGTGACCGATGCGCTTTATGATAGAAGATTGGAGTTAACGTCGACCACTCCTTTGCAGCGTGCCGCTGGTTCGCAGCTGCTGCATATATATATATAACCCCGATCAACCCTTCGCAACTCTCGAAAGAAGGCCAAGGCGCAGTTCTCAGACGTCACGGCGAGACACGACTAGGAAACACGACTCCGGAAAACGGCCTGCCATGGCGACCGAGTCACGTCTGGGGCCGATTCCAAAGCAGACGAAGGGCCTTTCAGGTATTTCATCATGCATGCACAAAATGTTGCATCATGCCGGTCACACTGCATACAGAGATAGTTCAATTTCCGGGGGGCGAAAGATTTGCTACAGCCAGGAGTCGAGCACCCAATACCAAAACGAGGGTGCTTGCGGCCCTCGAAAAGTTAGACCAACACCTGCATTGCTGGGTGTATATATCTATGGACTTCACGTATCCATATTTTAGGTTTTAACTATCTATTGGCACTTTAAGGCAACGAACTAGACATCAAGCTGCGGATTAGGTCGATGGAAAGACGCCGCCTGACGCCGCTTAGCCCGCAAACGAAGGAAAATTATAATTCTACGATGCAAGCCAAGCACGGACTTCAAGTACATGCAGGAACAATACTCCTAGAGAGTAACAAATCGACAGTTTACCGCGGCAGCGCGCCATCGAGCCCGCGAGATAAGCCCCCACTACCTCCGACAACTTCGTACTACGCCTCTTACACACGTACACACGTCATGCCGTACATATTAGCTTATATCCATGAGAGACGAGATGCCAACAATCCCCCACTAATCATGCACCACTAGATCGCGGTTACGACACATAAAACAGCTAAGAGAGAAAGATCCAACAAAACACCAAAAACCCTTTCCGGGGTTCCACTTTAAAATAACTTGCTGTAGACCTTTCCTTACTTGTGGGCGCTAAGTGCCCGTGCACATGGCATATGTACCCGCAGCATGGACCATCGCAGCTACCGAAACCAGCTCTCGCAGACTTCCTTGAGGCGCATGGAATTCCCCCTGCTGTTCAACTTCCAGCTCAATCCTCCTCCGAGGAGGGGATTGAGGGATGCACCTCTGCGAAACGCCGCCCAGCGCTTCCGTAGGATGGGAATTTATATGTATATATCATATATGCAAACCAGATGCCATCCAATATACCATGCCTTCATGGTCGATATCATCAAGTGATAGTCAGCGCCGGCACCTCAACACCTCATTTAATCGTACTAGCTCCCACGTATGGAACCTTAAGTGCTCTCCCACTGCACAGTGATGCATGTGGATGCGGCTTTCTCTCTCTGCAAGCAACTAATAAGGAGCCTAACTCTTGGTAGGACAGAGATCGGCATGCGGTGGCCACTCTAAGTGACATCTAACGACTCACCAACTGAACTG